AAAACAATCAAAAACTTGAAATTACGTTACGTTACAGTAAACAATTTTACAATCCTAATTCCTCTGAGAAATGTCCAATAGAGTGAATAACATAATAATAATAATAATAATAATAATAATTGCCAGGGGCAAATCTAACAACCACTGGAAAGATTTCAGGGTTGGAGAGATCGCGGTCAACAGCAACGAACAACATTCGTGAACTTCTTGTGTCACTTGTTGAATATCACCACATTTCAACCACTACAAAGTGCAAAAGATCGGGTTTTGTGGAGGTCGATGGTCGCCAATCCCCTGAAAGGATAAGGCACGAGGTAGAAGAAGAATTGCTAGGGGTGTAGCCATTGGGGACTGTAGGGCTGCCGAAATCTCCCCAGTGAAAAAATATGTAGGGGTAAATTTGGATGAACAAATTTTACTTAAATTTGGCCAAAAACTGACAACAAAATGGTTTTAAACTATTTTTGGCTGAGTTGAAAAACTTCCATGATTAATATTCACCAAAAGTATATAAGTGATATTTAGAAAATAGTGGGGAGACAATTCAGTTTTTTGTATGACAGGACTGTTGTGTATATTGGTTGACAGGCATGGTTGAATAACTAAATCATCATCTTCATCGTCGTCTTCACCATCATCTTCACCATCATCTTCACCTTCATCTTCACCATCATCTTCACCTTCATCTTCACCATCATCTTCATCATCATCTTCACCATCATCTTCACCTTCATCTTCACCATCATCTTCATCATCATCTTCACCATCATCTTCACCTTCATCTTCACCATCATCTTCACCTTCATCTTCACCATCATCTTCATCATCATCTTCACCATCATCTTCACCTTCATCTTCATCTTCACCATCATCTTCACCATCATCATCACCACCAAAATAATCATATCAAAATAGCTCCACCGCGTAACATAGCATGTTCCTCCGTGCAACGTGTTTCAGATATGGTGGGTGACCTAGTTTTTTTTTTCATTCATCCATTTTCTTATATTAATTCGCTTAGTTCATCCATTGTTTGTATTTTGTTCTCATTCGTTCGTTTGTTGTTTCGCTTCATTCATTCACTTTTTCATTCGATCGTTCGTTCGTTCGTTAATTTCTACCTTTGAAAAATTGTAGAAACATTCACTCACTCACTCACTCACTCACTCACTCACTCACTCACTCACTCACTCACTCACTCACTCACTCACTCACT